GAAAGGGACACCTGAGCCTGAGGAAAAGTGGCCGCAACCAGACTGGAGCCACCATTTTAGAACATTGATCACTCAAGGTCAGAAGCCGTGTCTCCTGGGTATTTGGAACACGCACACATACGCACCTTGAAAAGCAGCAGCTGGTGGGAGATTTGAGCTGCTAATTAATGCACCTTCGTGTAACACCAGATTTCCCTGGTAGGCAGGCCAGTTCCCCTTCCCTCGGCGCAGCTGCAGGCCTGCCCTGCCTTTTCTCCGCTGCTCTCCCTGCCCCTCCTCCCCTGTGGCCATCCCGTCACCACCAGAGTCCTGCTCCATGATGGTTTCCTTGCTCTTCTCGCACATGGGTAGTTTGAGCACCAGCTAGAAGACTGTGCCTCCAGGAAAGTGTGGGCTCCCCCTCCTGCCTTGCTCATCTCCCCACTGGTTCCCAGGCCTGTCTAGTCCTCATGAACCTCCTTCTAGCTTGCTCACCTCCACCTGGAGAAGGCAGGAGCCTATCTCTCCTCTGCTTCCCTGCTCCACCACTTGTTGTAAGTGGCTCCTGAGTGACTGGCTGCGACCTGCTAGTCTTAGGGAGGTTTGGCTGAGTGCCCATCAGCATTCCAGCTCCCTGTCTCTGCCCCCACCCCAGGAATGGGCACGGAGGAGGTGGGAGAACTGAACTGGAACCACCCTTGGGCAAAAGAGCCTGGGCAAGCATCATGGGACCTTGAGCCTTCCAGAGCCAAGAGGTAGAGCCCCTATGCTGGGACCTGTCTTCTCTTCTCAGTCCCTCTTCACGTAGACCCAGCATGGCCAAGGTAGAGTCCCAGGGATGCTGAAGGAGGCTCAGTGGCCAAGGTGCCAGGCAGAGCCCTTACGCCCTCTGGTCTCCAAGCTGGTGCTTTCTGCAGGAAGCCTGGCACACTGGAGGCCTGTTAGTTAAAACTTCTCCAACCTCCCACTTTCCTTTCCACCAATTGACCTGAAATGACATAGCTGTGTCTGTGAGCAAAGTTTGCAGCATAGGGCAAAAAGAGAAAAGAGTGGGAGACAAAGAAGCAGCAAGGAGGGAGAGAGATGGAATAATGTGAAAATGACCTGAAAAACCACCCCCCATCCCTCCCACCCTGGCTGGGTGTAGACCCTCAGTGGGCACCAGCTTACTTCCCACAGTTCCCATTCATTTCATTTCCACCCATAATCATTAAGCACCTATTGATGCCAGAAATTGTGCTGGGCAGGGAGGCCCAATCAGATTTGTGTGTTAGGGAGATAAAAGGAAACTCCACTAGGCTCTGTGGTGCAGAGGCCCAGTATCTCTCAGTTAGATACTGGTCAGTTAGATCTTTAGTGTACAGCAGAGTTCCTGGCACTTGCAGTGGAGGCTGTGGACTGAATGAAAGGTTTTTGAGGCATTACACAGGGAGGACGAGGAGGGCAAGGTTGAGTGTAGTGGTCAGGGAGGCAGTACAAAGTAGTGGTGAAGAGTGTGGGCTCTGCACTCAGACTGCCCGCGTCTGGCGCTGGCCAATTCAATGTGTGACCTTGGGCAAGTTACTCCACCTCTCTGAGCCTCAGTATCCTCATTTGCCAATAGGGATTGTTCTGAGGATTAAAAGATGATACCTATAAAATGGCAAACAGAGTGCCCTGCACTTGGCAAGTGCAGGAAGAGACTATCCCTGGGCTAGAGCAGGTGCAATGGGGATGGGGCACAATAGATGGTTGCGACATATTATTCATTGGCTGCATCAACCAGATTTGGTGGCTGATCGGATGTGGGAGAAGGAGGGAATGAGGTCCATTGCTTAGGTAGTGGTGAGGCTCCTAGAGTAGGGAGCTAAGAGGGGCAGGGCAGGAGGAGGGCAGGTGGGTAGGAAGGGAGTTTTAGGCCCACCTAGAGAGAGAGACCTGTGAAGATCCTGGACTTTGCAAAGTGTAGAGCTCAGCAAAGAGGCCTGGGTGGAAGGAATAGAGCCCAGAATCAAAGCTAAGGGGCTGAAAACCCCCCCCTTACCCGTTCACTCTCCATGGCTATTCCTTGGGAGCCTCTGCAGTCCCCTGCCACCTGCCTGAAGGAAATGGGGCAAAATGCTTCTGGTAGGGGGAGACTGCATCAAGGGGCCTTGCTCTTCAGCTTCCATCACCTGCCTGTTCCTCCCCGACTCTGCAGCCGGTGTGCACCCGGGCATGGGGGAAATGATTCGGGATGTGGGCTTTTCCCCCTTGCTGGGATCTGTCAGTATATTTGAGAGACAGGATCACAGAGTGGTAAAGCATATAGACTCTATCTGCCTGGGTAGAATCACTCGCTGCTCCACATCTTCCTAGCTGTGGGATCTTGGGGACATCGTTTAGCCTTTTCATGTCTCAGCCTCCTCATCTGTAAAGCGAGGTAATAATCATGCCTGTCTCAGAATTGTTGTAATCATTAAATCAGTGAATGTATGTATGTAAAGTATCAAGGACAGGGCTTGCTGCATGTTAACTGTTATTATTATTTGTCTGTCTAACACACCTGCCAGGCACCTAATAACAGTCAGAGCAGGGTGGAGGCTACATCAGGGCATGGCATGATTGTCCTCAAGATGACTCACTGTCTGCCTTGGGATGTCCTCCTCAGACACACTAACCTAGTCCCCTGTCCCCTCCAGGACTCAGACTCAATCAAATATCTACTGAGCAGTCATTCCACCGGCCAGCCCCCTCCCAGGAATCCTGAGCCATAACAACATGCTCCATCACCGGCCTTGGCGTGTGACAGAGGCCTTGCCTGCCACTTGTAAGAATGAGACAAGTGGAAGGTCCAACACGGATGGTCCCCTTTGGCTCTCAGTAAACAGCTCATCACCAGGCCGTCTTCTCAGCCTTCCAGGGGAGGGGAATGAGAAAGAGATATGAAAAGAGAAAGACAAGGAAAGGGTAGTGTTGAGGGGGAACATACACGGGGGAAAGTGGGTTTGGAACACTTTCACCAATTTGAATGAATATCTTTAAAACCATATGCTCCACCACTCAATTTCCCTTTCCTTAGCTTCCTCTCTTAGACATACAGTCCAGATTAGAAGAATGAATATGATGTATACACAACACAGCATTGCATGGAGGTTAAATGAAGCCAGGCAACTTGCGTTTAAGCCCCAGTTCCATTAAATAACAGCTGTGTGGCCTCGACAAGTTACTTAATACCTCTGAGCCTCAGTTTCCTCGTCTGCAAAGTGGGAATAACAATAATACTACTTCATAGGGTAGTGACAGAGGTTACAGGCATGTGAAGCCCTTGGGACCACGCCAGGCACTTACAGGCTATTGTGGCCTGCTGAGAGGTCTATAGAAGCAGACGTCCTGCCTCACTCCCCAGCTCCTTCTCTACCTGCCCAAAGCAGGAGCAGAATGATAGGATACAGACTCCACTGACAGTCTCTAGAAACTCCCCTGCAAGAGCTTCTAGACCAGGCCACTGGCCACAGCAACCTGAAACTTGAATTCACTCCCCACCTCCACACCCAACTCCCCCGGACCGCTCTGCTCCAAGCCCACCTGTGACCCCAGCCTGTTGTCCCTTCCTGCCAATCAATATCTGAGCTGTTCTTCCTTCTTCCAGGTTCCCAGAACTTGGATAGGTGGTTTTGGGCTTGAGGCCAGATTCATCCACAGGTCCCCCTTCTTCCCTGGCATTTAAGACTCCACCGTGGTTTCTCAAAGTGTGGACCCAGCAGAGAACCTGGGAGTGCTTACTCAAAATACAGATTTTCGTGTCATACCAATAGGACTGACTCTGAATTTGGGGGATGGAATTTGCGTTTTGATAAGGCCCTGGGAAGATTTTCTAATATACATTATAATTGAGATTTTAATCACAAAACTAGCAGCCCCACCTCAGCTCCAAGAAAACAATCCTCGGTGGAAGACAGGGCCTCCACCGGAGCCAGGGGAAGGATTGTTAGAGATGTGCTTTCCCCCAGTCCAGGCAGGCGCAGCAGCAAAGGGAAAGCGACAGAGATGGGGCCGAAAGGGAGCGAGTCCTAGAAAGCCCGGGGCGGGGCGTGCGCCTCTTTCTAAAACCCTCATTAACTTGCCGAGCAATTACCCGGCGCTGCAGGAGTCGAGTCGCTGTCGCGGAGCCACTGTCTCTCCGCCCTGTCAGAAGCAGGAGTGGGGAGAAGAGGACGGTGGTGGAAACTGAGGCCCAAGGAGAGGACACGCCTTGGTACAGAGCCTGCACAGGACTCTGCCGTCTGGGGCTGGGCCTCCACCCACACCGCCGCCTGGGAACGCGGTGGGGGTGGGGTGGGGGGCGTAGCCCTCTAAAACCCCCTCTTTTCTTGAAGCTCAGCCACAGCTTCATCCATCCCAAGGCGCATTCCTTTCTCTCCAGCCTCAACTTTCCCAACCGCGCCCGCCTGGTGTGTGCATGTAGGGCGGGGAGTAGGGGCTTGTGGTGTGATTATGGGAGCGCAGCGGTGGGAGGCTGGGCCGGACAGCGGGATTCCCCACCGGAAAGCAGCCCAATCCCTTTCCTGGGCTGTTTGAGACCCTGAACCGAAACAGGAGGTTGGACGCCCTGGCCGGGAAGCGCGGGAAGCGGTCCCAGCCCGGATTTCCCTCCCGGGTGGGGCCACAATGACTCACCCCCCTCCCCCTTCCCCAGTTTCCTTGTTTGCATTTCTCTCCCAGGCCACGTGGCGGCCGGTGCAGCCACTCACCGCCCCTACCCGGTCACCTGGGCCTAGCGGCCTCCGCACACGCCCGGGTGCCCCGGCACACCCCCCCAGGCCGCTCCTGCCCCCTGGGGTTTCTCAGGGCTGTGGCTCCTGCCCGCTCTGCAAACCCCGGAGTCCGGTCTCCACTCCAGCCTGTGCTGCCCCATCCTACGCCACCCTGATGGTGAGGCTCCGGGAGCCGCCTTCCCCGCCCCCTAGGCAAGTCTGGGAGGGGAAGGGGGCGGGCAGCACAGGGGGTGTGACAGCTCCCGCCCGGACCAGTGCCAGCTGCAGCTTCGCTTCAGTGCCCTGTGCCAGCTGGCTCTTTCGTTAGGGACCGAGGCGGAGGTTCGGGGCTCTCGTCGCTGAGGGGGGGGGATTCCCCCCCAACCCCTCAGCCCTCTACCCACCCAAGAGGAGCCTCTCCTCCCAAACTTGCCTCTGGCTGCTCTGGCAGGCTGTCCAGCTAGAAGCTGGCCCTGGTCACTGCGCCTGGGACTTAGAGTCTGCACCCCCTTCAGGATTCTCCAGTCCCAGCTGGCCAGGGCTCGCTGGGGGTCCCCCAGCCTTTTGGTAGAGCCTGCACGGCTGGGCGAGCTTGAGAAGGAACATGAAGGTGGGTAAGGTGGGGCCAGAGGTGAGGAGGAGAGGAAGCTGACCCGATGGGGATTTTGGGTGGGAGAGAGAGGGTTGAGGGTTGGTCTGGGGTGAGGGAGGAGGGAAGAAGGAGGGTTTGAGCGGAAGCTGCATTTCTGGGGGATCCAATGAGTCTATAGCCTCAAACGGGGAGTTGGGGGATCTCTCTGCAGAGACTAGGGCAGCAGGGTGGGGCAGAAGTTCAAAAGAAGACCGGGAAGGAGGCCCCAATCTCCCGCCAGCCAGCAGGAGACCCCTAAGTGCGCCAGACCGGCAGGCCCCAGTGAAGGTCTTCCTGTCCCTCCCCCAGCTCCTGGCAGGGCTGCAGCACCTCCGCCTGATCAGTCCCGAGGATTCTAAGGAAGCGGTGCTGCCTGGGGGAGTTGTGCCCTGGTCCAGCCGCCTCAGCCCCATGGCTGTCTGCCTTCCTCCCCTCCTCACAGGTTGGCTGGCCAGGTGAGAGCCGCTGGCAGGTGGGCCTGACTGTGGAAGACAGTCCAACTCTGGGAGCACCACAGGTGGGAGGCCTTCCGGACGTGGTGCCTGAGGGGACACTGCTCAACATGGTGCTAAGGAGGATGCACCGGCCCCGAAGCTGCTCCTACCAGCTGCTCCTTGAGCACCAGCGCCCCAGCCGCATCCAGGGGCTTCGCTGGGTGAGTGCCCATTGCCTGCCCGGGCCAGGGCCCAGGGTCGGAGGGGGGAGGGTCTGGTTGGGAGCACAGGCATGCTGGAAGGGGCCCAGCTTGCACCGGGGGTGTAGGGAGTCCTGCCGGATGGACAGCGGGTCAGGCAGCTTAGCTGCGGTGTGCGTGGGTGGCTCACACAGCGACATCAAGTGTGCATGTGTGTGTGTGTGTGTGTGTGTGTGTGGTGTCCAAGTGCCACCATTTAAGCATGAGGGGAAGAAGCAAAAGATTTGTCACTTATCTGTCACCTCTGAGTGCCTTGGGTTAGGTGCTTGTATGTTCCCTGGGTGGGGGTGTGTGACACGTGTGAAATACTGGGGATCGGGTCAAGTCAGGGGTGAGGGGAGCTTGGCTACTGTTCTCCACATATCACCGTGGCGACCTTCTCTGAGTGAGCAACTGAACTGCACCAGTTCTGCCTTTTGATTTTTGGGGTGAGGTGGTCGTGTGAACACTGCTTGACGTCTGGCTTTGGGGGCACTCAGGGAAGGATGCTGAGAAGTTTAGAGGGTCTGAGATGACCGGAGCCCCGCTTGCCAGCAAAGAACACCTCTGGAGCTGCAAGGGTGACGCGGAGAGCAGGAGGGGGTCATGGCCGGGTGGGGTGCAGGATAAAGGTTGCGGGCTTCAAATCAGCAGAGAACCTCTCCCCCACCACCCAGACTGAATAGAGTGACGGCACCGAGATTTAGTGTGTGTCTTGTGTGCCCGCCTGTGTATGGGGGTACTGGGAGGGCACTTGGGTAGAGGCGTGGAGAAGCGGAGGGAAAGCAGGAACAGGTGACAGACCCGGGAGAGCTTATCTCTTATGGGCAAGTCCCACTGAATGGAATGACCATGTCCTTCTGCCTCATTCCTCCTGCCTCTCTCAACCTCCATTTATAGCTACCAAAACGTGAGGCTGAGCTGAGAAAACGGAGGCCCACCAATATGAGGGGTCATCCTCGCAATCAGAATTGAGAGGAGAATCTAGGAGGCAGTCCCCCAAACCTTCCGTCCCAATGTCTTCTTGATAAGGGGCCTCTTGGGCTTGGGTGCTGCTCCTGATAGGGCTCTGGAGCCGGCAAAGGAGCTGGTCACTTCTGGGCTTAGCTCCTCCCCCTTCAGGGTCACTGGCAGTAGCTGCTGCTTGGAGCCAATGGGCTGGAACACTCCCTCCCTCCTTCCCTCTCAGGCTATAATTACTTATGCATTTCCTGTCCCCTTCCCAGCTTGTAGAGGCAAGGTGGGGAGCGGAGGAAAGGTCAGGTGCTAGGACAATGAGGTCACCAGAGGATCCCCTGGGACCCAAAGTCTGGGAGGGCGTAGAGGAGGCCGCCAGCCTGTCTCCTGACTCCTCCAACCCCTGGTGTGCTTGGGGAGGCCGGAAGGGTGGGGGTGAGGGCTGCTGGAGTAAATGGGGTCAAAGGCACAGAAACAAGGCCTCTCCCCTACCGGGTAGGGGGGCAAGTGGGGATTGGTGATTAGAAGGAATTTAAGATTTTTCAGGCCAGGATAGTGGCCACACCCTCTGCTGATGACCGGCTCTGGGGAATGGGGGTGGGGTAGTTTCAGCCCATTGTGTCTGTGTTTGAGACTCTGGGTACCTGTAGAGCTGCACCTTTCATTTCTGGATGATGCCTTTGACCCATGAAGAGCTCACATGAGGGACGGTGCCAGGCAGGGAATGTGTACACACAGAGTAAAGGGTGGACATTGTGAGGGGCTAGAGTCCATAGTCCCTGGAGGACAGTGCTGGGAGTTATGCAGCCCATGCCTACCTTGTAGGAAATCAAGGCGGGGCAGGGGGGTGTCCTGACTGGTGTGGCTCAGTGGATTGAGTGCTGGCCTGAGAACGAAAAGGTTGCAGGTTCGATTCCCAGTCAGGGCACACGCCTGGGTTGTGGCCCACGTCCCCAGTAGGGGCAACCTGAGAGGCAACCACACATTGATGTCTCTCTCTCTCTCTTTCTCCATCCCTACCCTGCTCTCTAAAAAATAAATAAATAAATAAAAACCCAGCGTGAAACCCATCAACTTCCTGAGGCCTAAGGAGAGTACTTTCTGTTCCTACTGGGCCTGGACAAGAGTAAATAGAAGCAGGTTACACCAGGAAGGCCTGAGGTTAGATACAGAAAGAACTTGCCAGCTCTGACAAAGGTGACACTGGAATGGAATGGAAGAATATCTCCTTTGGAAAATATGAAGGAGAGAGGAGATTGTCTGGTTTCTAGGGATCAATCTGTCTAGAGGCAGGGACAAGATCTGGATGACCTCCGGTGGGTCCTATGAGCTCAGCGAAACCTGGGGATGCTTCTGAGTAATTGTTTGGGGGGTAGTATTTCTGACTCAGAAAACATGCTTCCATCCAACCTGTCCAAATAATGATAGTAGCTGATAGGTATCTAGGACTTACGTCCCAGACGCTCTTCTAAGAGCACCTGGGACAGAAGACCTTTATTGTATCATATACTCTCGCAACAGCCCTGTGAGACAGGTGCTAATGTCATTGTCTCATTTTAAAGATGAGAAAACAGGCACAGAGAGGCTACCTGACAGGCCCAGAGTTACACAGCTGCTAAGGGACAAAGCTGGACTTGAGTCCTGGGTACCTTGGCTGCAGAGTCCAAGCTCATGGTATACTTTTTATTGCTGCAAATGGTAACACCCCGCCACATGCATCCTTTCTGTGACCCACACTGCCCAGCCCTGGCCTGAGACCCTGGCCATGGCCTAATGGAACTGGTCAGACAGGGCCCCATGTGACTGTCTGGCTCTGTGCCTGCCCCGCCAGTGGGGCTCTGACACTCAGCGATGGGGAGGGAGTGTGGGTCAGCCCATGGCGCTGGTGCCACAGGAGGGAGCTAGCAACTGCTCTTCTGCCCCGAGTCATTCCTGTGAAGGCATGATAGGAGGCAGTGGGAGAGGACCTTCACCCTGACCCATACCTGCTACTTCTTTCCCATGGAGAACCCCTAAGCTGATGCTCAGGGTCTTCAGGTCAGGGACAGGGTCAGCCGAGGTCCCTGTCTTGCAGTGTCCAGGTAATGGATGCCCAACATGCAATAAAGATTAATCAAGTTACTTAACATTTACTAAGCAGTAACTAAAAGCCAGGCGCTGCTCCAAGTGCTTTCTATTACTAACTGGTTGGATCCTCATAAGAGCTCTATGGGGTAGATAGTTTTATCACCAACCCCATTGTAGAGGTGAGGAAACTGAAGCACAGAGAGGCTAATAAGCAGCCCAAGGTCACACAATTAGCTGGTGGTGGGAGAGCCAGAATTTGCCCCTAGGCATCCAGCCCCAGAGCCCACGCACTTGACCACTGCCCCTGAATAGCAGCCCCGCAACAACATGGTGGCAGCCCAGAGGGACTATGATAACAAACCTACTGAACTTTGTTTTACCCAGTTCTTATTTGCCCAGAGCCTTCCTGAGGGTAGAAAACGTCTACTACCTCAACTTCCGCGGCAAGTGGGAGGAACATGGGGGAGCTGCCATGGAGATAGCAAGGCATAGGGGCTATGAACTTGGGGTTTGGGATCAGACGGGCACAGTGTGAATCCTGGTGCTCACATGCACCTACTCTCAGGGCTGGTTATGTAACTAACCTCTGAGCTGACTCTCCAGCACGAAAGAGGAGACAACCACCTACTTTCAGGGTCAACCTTGGTAGCGGTTATTCAGAAGGATCTTTCATTTCTAAGCAGTGTGTAAGTTACTTCATCTCTCTGCATACCTGTTTCCCTTGGCAAAATGAAAGGGCTGCCTTCAGGTCCCCTTCTCAGCTGTATGGGCCAGAGCCCCCAGCCTCTGACCCTCATGCCCATCCCCTGGGGCAGGGCAGGAAATGGCTTAAGCAAGGCCTGTGGATCTGGGATCTGGGATCTGGGTGGCGACCAGCCTGACCACATGACCTGGCACCTCCCCTCCTGATGTGCCCTCGGGGTCAGAATAATACCAGGAAGGGAGCGTGTGCTGGAGTCTGGGTCGTGGGCACCAAAGGGAGTTGAGGCAGGGACTGGAGCCACCTGGGCATTTTGACATGAACAACAACAAGTCATTAGCACTCAGCACTGTTTGTTCCAACTCTGGGGGCTGGCCGGGTAGCATTCCTGCCCTTCCTCCTTCCCTGGCTCCTCCTCCTTCTCCTCCTCCTCCTTATTTCCTGTTGCTAAGTCTCCAGGGCTCTGTGTCTGGCACCAGGCTGGGCCCCATGACCCAGGCAGGGATACCCTTGGGACACCTAGTGACTTCCGTCCAGTGCTGGGCCAGGCGCCTACACACACCAGACCTCAGGCATCTGCCTAGCACACGGTGGAAGATGCCAGAGCCAGGGAAGGGGGTTTTGGCTCCAGGCCTGGTTGTACCCAGCTCCCCAGCCAGGTCATTTTCAGGGACCTGAGTGCAGATGGGAAAGCAGGAGAGTGCTGGTGAGCAGGGGGAAGGAAGAGGAAGCAGCAGGTGTGGTGGGTGGAGCAAGACCAAGAATGTGAGCACTTCTGGTAGGAACTGGAGTTCATCCATGGCCGCCTGGCTGTCTCAAGTATGTATGACTGAGTTACCTAGTACTTCACCTCAAGAGTTTTGTTTCCTCATAAATCAAAGAAGACAAGAAATACCTGCCTCGCCTAGTTCACATCTGATCCTGTTTAATACAGGATCAAAAGAAATCACAGAGATGACCATGCTTCATAAAGTGCCTGCCTTTGGGCGGGCTCTCACAGGGCAGGGTATTCTGTCCAGAGATGTCTACAAATTTCAGTTCTCTGGTGGCAGAAGGCAGAAAAAAAAAAAGGGGGTGGGAGAGGTTTTCATGGCCGACATCCCAGGACACATAGGGTGGGTGGCATAATTAATTCATAAGGCAGGAAACCTTGTTAACCCATGTTTCTCCATAAAACCGGTCTTCCGGAGCCAGTCATGTGTGCTACCAAGCCGTCCTCGCTCTTGCTGGGTTATGGACTAGCAGGAGCATCTCAGAGAGGAAAAGAGCTTTCAAACAAGCCGCCACCCTTTGCTTCACAGGTGACTAGTAATAGCTAACGTATACATAACAACTACATGCCAGGCAGTGCTTTGAACATTCACTATATATTAACTCACATAACCCTTCCAAAAGCCTAAGTTGGTATTAGGAGTGTTTTATAGATTTTATACACAAGGAGACTGAGGCAGGGAGCGGGTCGGTTGTGTTCAGAGCCCCGCTGCTGGTGAATGGAGGAGCAGGCTTTTGACTCCGGGAGTGTGGCTCCGAGGTTTGTGTTCACTGACAGGTTGCGCCGAGGCCCACACAGGGCAGGAGGTTTGCCCAGGGTCCTGTGGCGGGGAGCAGACCCTGCCTCCAGGATCAGCCTCGGGGCCCAGGCCCAGGCCCAGGAGCAAGCGTTCCAGGCCTCCCAAGCCACGCACTCCTTGGCCTCTCAGGTCCCCGCGCTCTTCCAGGTGCGGTATACCAGGCAGCCTGGGCACGCCTGCGCCTTGAGTAAGCAGCGCTGGCACCTCGGGGTGCTCGTCTGTGGGGACGCAGTGCTTAGGTGTCTGGGGACAGAGTACCAGTGTGGGGAAGAGGTGGTGCCAGACTCCTGGGGCACTCAGTGAGTATTTGTTTACAGTTGTCCCCCCTTATCTCAGGGGTTATCTTCCAAGACCCCCAGCACATGCCTGCAACCAGGGATCGTACTGAATCCTATATCTACTATGTTTTCCCTAGATACACACACCTTTTCACTTAAAGGAAGCACCTTACTGCTTGTCCTTGGCATACTCAAGTATCTGGCATCACTGCTAGTGGGCTTTGGGGTCATTATTAGGTAAAACAAAGGTTACTTGAACCCAAGCCCTGGGATACCACAACAGTAGATCTGATGACCCAGATGGATACTAAGTGACTAACCGGTGGGGAGCTTATACAATGTGAACGTGCTGGACAAAGGGATGATTCACATCCCAGGGAGATGTTATCACACTACTTAGAATGGTGCACAATTTAAAACTTATGAATTGTTTATTTCTGGAATTTTCCATTTAGACCACGGTTGAGTGTGGGTGACTGAAACCTCGGAAAGCAAAAAACAGATAAGGGGGAAACTGTATTTATTGAATTAGTAGGTAAATGGATGTGTTTGGTGCTGGGGTTTGGGACAGGGGCGGGGAGAAGGGGGAGAGGCGGGGTCCAGGAGCTGGATGTGAAGGCCTGGCCCTGACCTTTGGACTCTTCCCTTTGCCTTCAGACGCCACTCACCAACAGCGAGGAGTCCCTGGATTTCAGTGTGAGCCTGGAGCAGGTACAAGCCTGAGGGTGGATCTGGGAGGGGGCAGCATGGCCAGGGCATCAGGGCCTGAGCCAGATGTTCTGCTCCACCCCCCGCCCCAGGCATCCACAGAGCGGGCGCTCAGGGCTGGGAAGCAGCTGCATCGGCATCTCCTGGCCACTTACCCCAACCTCATCCGAGACCGGAAGTACCACCTTAGGCTCTATCGGTGAGTGGAGGAGGCCTTGCTTGTCTCCTCGCCCACCTGCTGTTTTCTCTTCCTTTCATTCTGTTCCAGGCATGTGGGCCCAGCTCTGCTTCCCACAGCACTGGGGCTGAGCTTAGGAAGATGACTTTTGGATACAGAGTCCCTCCCTCTCCCCTCCTGCCGTTTGACTGTCCTTCCTTTTCCCCGTCCCCTTCAACTCTGTAGGCAATGTTGCTCAGGTCGGGAGCTGGTGGATGGGATCTTGGCCCTGGGGCTCGGGGTCCATTCACGGAGCCAAGCCGTGGGAATCTGCCAGGTCCTGCTCGATGAAGGTGCCCTCTGCCATGGTGAGCCTGAGCCCAGGGCAGGGGACCTGGGGCTGGGCAGCCCTGGGGAGCAGACGTCAGCGGGGGGGGAAGGAGGGGTGGGCATTGCAGTGGGGTCTCATACCCACACAGCCTCAATTTCCTCTCCTCCCGCATGTCTGGGCCTCTTCCCAGTCAAACACGACTGGACCTTTCAGGACCGAGATACCCAATTCTACCGTTTCCCGGGGAGGGAGCCAGAGCCTGCAGGAGTCCACGAGCTGGAGGAGGAGCTGGTTGAGGCTATGGCCCTGCTCTCTCAGCGGGGGCCTGATGCCCTGCTTACTGTGGCACTTCGGAAGCCGTGAGTGGGCACTCTGCACCCTGTACCCCGTGGCCCCAGCTCCCACGTGGCTCCCAGACTCTGGTTTCTCAGTTTCCTCTCCAGAAGGATCCCTCACTTCTCACTGAGGGAAAGGACCCTGGCTGGACCAGAGGCCCGAGCTCTGATGTGCATTCTGCCACAGACTTGCTGCGTGATCTGAACCTTCCCTTTTCCCTATTTCTTCCTCTGTACCTGAGAATGTGGAGTGCATGACCTCTGAAGACCCTGCCCCCTCTGAGGGGCAGCAGAGGCTGAGAGGGTGGCCTTTGGAGTCCTCAGGCAGGGTTCATATTCCAGTCCTAGTGGCTACTAGTGGGTGGCCTTGAGCCTTTTTCCATGCCAGCGTCCTCTTCTCTGAAAGGAGAATAAGGATACCCATGTCATGGGGTTGTCCTGAGGGCAGGTTGAAATGATGCGTGAGAAGTGCTTAGTCCCGTGTCTGGCACATAGTGTGCACTTGGGAATGGCTGGCCCGTTAGTGATAACAATCCTTGCTGAGGCACCGGCTGACCCCAGGCCTGTGCTCCGTGGGTGAGTAGTCCCCACCCCTGGCCTTGGGCCCAGAATTCACCCTTTGCTTCCGGCCTTCCCTTGCCTGCAGCCCAGGGCAGCGCACAGACGAGGAGCTGGAGCTCATCTTTGAGGAGCTGCTGCACATCAAGGCTGTGGCCCACCTCTCCAACTCGGTCAGTCCGCAGGCCCCGCCTCACCCTTTCCCCCGGGACCTCCTCTCCCCCCTTGTGACCACCCGAGGAGGCACCAGCTGCTGGGCCAGAAGATACTTCCCTCCCCTTCTGCCTATGGCTTGGAAATTTCCATCTGATTTCCTGCTCCCAGCATCCTTGTCTGAAGGTCCTTCTGCCCCTTTTAGCCTGTTGCCTCCCTTTGCATTGCCTCCTGCCAAACCCCAGGCCGACTGACCTAGCTACATCTCTGCCCCCGAGCACTCATGTCTTATTCCTCACCTCTAACCTGGCCCTCTGCCTCTGGGACTTGCCCACTGACCCTCCTCTTCCTGCCCCACAGGTGAAGCGGGAGTTAGCGGCAGTTCTGCTCTTTGAACCCCACAGCAAGGCGGGCACCGTGTGTAAGTCCGACAGTTGACAGGAAGCTGGGCGCCAGGGACCTGGCCATGGGTGGAGGCCACAGAGAAGAAGTGGTGGGTGCTGAGGGTGTGCCTGATCTGTGCTCCTCTCAGTGTTCAGCCAGGGGGACAAGGGCACCTCATGGTACATTATCTGGAAGGGCTCTGTCAATGTGGTGACCCATGGCAAGGTGAGTCCTCCCTTCTTCTCCAGCTCCCTGGCCCGTGTCTCCATGGGCAGTGCCTCTGGTAGACCCAAGGCTGCTGATCTCCCAGGGCTTCTCCTGCCTCAGTGCTTCTCCCCGACATGCGTCTGCTCCATGAGGGCTGGGGGTCGGGCAGTTGGGCTGTGATTAAGATCTGGCTACAGGGGCTGGTGACCACACTGCACGAGGGAGATGACTTTGGACAACTGGCTCTGGTGAACGACGCACCCCGGGCGGCCACCATCATCCTGCGAGAAGACAACTGTCATTTTCTCCGAGTGGACAAGCAGGACTTCAACCGTATCATCAAGGTGCTGGGGGTGGGGAGGGCAGGGGATATGGTGAGGACAGCTCTGTGGAGAAGTGTGGGGCAGGAGGAAGGACCAGAGAGAGCCCTGTGAGGAGGAGGGAGAGAGAGGAGACAGAGAAGCTCAGAATCGAGAGCGGGAGGTGGGAGCACAGCCCTGGGCATGTGAAGAGGCCCACAGCATGCTGATGAAGTTCAGTGAGCCCCATGAACTCCGGCTCTGTGGGAGGCTCCGGCTCTGTGGGAGACCGTAGAGGGTAGCGGGGCTACAGAGGGGTGGGAGCAGGGTGCAAGGGGGCAGGGTAATGGAGGCTTGGAACCACAGAGGGACGAAGCAGAGGAGGGGCTCAGGCTGAGCAGGGATGGGCGTGAGGAGCAGATCCAAGCTGTGGGAGTTGAACGAGGTGGGAAAAGGGCTGAGGGTCCTTGTGGGGCTCAGGGTCTAGGATGGGGGAGGTGGAGGGAGAGGACCCAGAAATGGCGAAAGGGATCATGGTGTGTGCTGAGCACTGGGTGTGGCTTGCTCTCCAGGATGTGGAAGCAAAGACCATGAGGCTGGAAGAACATGGCAAAGTGGTGTTGGTGCTGGAGAGAACCTCTCAGGGTGCTGGCTCTTCTTGCCCCCCAACCCCAGGCAGGAACCGGTAACACACCCACCGAGCTCCCTCTCCATCTTCTCTCCTTCCTTTTCCCAGGCTTGACTGCCTTCCTCCATGTCATACCCTGCCCGCTAGCCTCCTGGGGGTGGAGAGACAACCAGGGACTAAGATGCACCCCCCGAATCAGCCACCCCTCCGCCCCAAGGAGGCAAATAGGGAAGAGGGATAGGACTGATTACTGACATCTGCCCTGGTTGTAGTGGGGGGAGTGGTGGCACAAGGGCATGGACTGGCCATTTCTGCTAGGTACACGGTGATGTCTGGCACCCCGGAGAAGATCCTAGAACTGCTGTTGGAGGCCATGAGGCCTGATTCCAGTGCTCATGACCCAACAGGTAGGGGCAGGAGACACCTGCCTGCTCTCTGACTCATCAGGTGGTCAGCCCAGGCTGGGAGACAGCCAGGCACCTGCATCTGATCTCACTGGGTGCCGGATTGATCCATGGGGCCAGTTGACAGGAAGTCCTCATTCCTGAGCTATTGGTTTGGGTAGGGAGTGCAGTCGTAGGGGCTGGGCATTGGCGGTAGCTTGACCAGGTGGGATTGGGGGATGGACACTCCAGCTGCGCGTGTACCTGTGTTCAGCGGGCTCGACCTCCCACCTATCTCCCTCTCCCTGCCTGCCCTACAGAGACATTCCTCAGTGATTTCCTCCTGACTCACAGAGTCTTCATGCCCAGCACCCAGTTCTGCGCGGCCCTCCTGCACCAATATCCTTCCAGCCCGGGGTGACTAGGATGCTGTGTGGAGTAGGGAGAAGGAGTTGCTCATAGCATGGCTGTGCCAAAAGCTCCAAAGTACCAGCCTCCTGCCAGCCCCAGCTTGTCAGCATCCTGCCCCTCCTTTGTGTGAGGTGCGGGGAGAAGCTCAGTTGGATGTTGTGGTTTCCTTGACTGGTGCCTACCTTCCACGCGGAGCCCGCGGGAGGCAGTGAGCAGGAGCGCAACACCTACATCTGCAACAAGAGACAGCAGATCCTGTGGCTGGTCAGCCAGTGGGTGGCCCTGTACGGCCCCATGCTCCACACTGACCCTGTGGCCAGCAGCTTTCTCCAGGTACCTGGGAGTGAGGCAGGGCTGGACAGGGCTGCCCGGATGGACACAGCTACAGCGTCTCAGTGAATCTTGGCTCCTCCCAGAAACTCTCAGACCTGGTGAGCAGGGATGCCCGGCTTAGCAACCTGCTTCGGGAGCAGTGGCCAGAGAGGCGGCGACACCACAGGTGATGCTTTGGCTCTAAATTAACTTAGAGCCAAACATGCATGACGGGCAGTGACTCAAAACTGAGAGCACCAACTCTGGACTGGAACACATGGCTTTAAATCCAGGCTGCACCCCTTATAGCTCTGCTGTCCTGAGCACATTACCCTCAGCCTCCTTGGGGCTTGGGGCTGTTGTGTGTAATCTGGGTGAGCACCTACCTCATTGCGTGGATAGAATGAGTTGCTGCACCTTCAGAGCGCAGAGCACATGGTGCACACCATGCGAGTGTTCCCTCTGGTTGCTCATTGGTCTAGTTCTGTTTGTTTCAATTAGTTGTTCCCATCAGTCCCCTTGCTGTTCCCCCTCACGTCACGCACTCAGCCACTCACACATCACGCAGTCATTTGGGTGTCACTCTCCTATCCCGAGTGCACCTGCTGTTCTCACTTCCTCCCTTTGGCACATGTTTATCACCGAGCACCATCAGCACCTGTTCCTGCTGGCCCCGCCCAGTAAATATCCTAGAGTTTAGCTTCCTCTTCCCGGGCAACCCCGTGGGGACAGCTTACCTGAACTAGTGCCTGATCCATCTGACACCTCGGTCCATTTCCCTCTTGAACTCTTTTCCCCACCCTTGCTGGCCTGGGAAAGTCTCAGGATCTGGGGCCCCTGCTTCAGTCCCGGCTTTGCCCCCTCTAGGTAATGGGGCCAAGTGTGCGAAACGTGGAGCCTTGGGAGAGGGAGGATGGGATCCAGAGCCCAGGGACCTCCCTGCTCCTGACCTGCAGGGTCCCTGGCCTCCAGTCTCACGCCCCTTCTCCCTTGCTCTACAGGTTGGAAAACGGCTGTGGGAGTGCATCTCCTCAGATAAAGGTATCTGCTCTGAGTCAGCTCCTCTCACCTCTGTCAACCCCAGCGTCTCCCCTGGGCTTCTCTGGGGACTGTCTGGTCCCTCCTTCATCCCCATCTCAGGGGCTCTGCGTAGGTTTCCCACACACAGACACACCCTCGGGTCCAGGGTGGGTGTTCATATGGGCTTTGTGTGGTGCTGGGGCCAGGTCCTATGGGGACACAGAGGTCTAAGGTCACCCCTTCTCCTCACCCTCACCCTTGGAGCCAGTTAGCTGTTCCCACCTGGGAGGTGAGACAAGGTGCCTGAAGGCAGCCCCTGAGGCCCAGCGGCTCCTGATGGCCGTGCTGGGAACCCAGAGGAAGGCAGGCCCCTGCCAGGGCTCAGAAGTGGCCAGTGCTATTCCCGGCAGGGGCCCAGTGGGGACAGTGGGGGAAGAGAAGAGGTGAATGGAGCTGAGATTTGGTTGAGGAATGGTGGAAAAAGGGACTGGAAAGGCAGGTTGGGGCTGCCTGTGGGGAGCGCTGCATTGGGAATAAAATCCGAAGGCTTCATCTGGGCTTCCCAGTGTCCCCGTCCCCAGCTGCCTCTCCCACCTCACCCATCACCCCTCCTCCCCACCAGAGATGCTCCTGGGCTCCTTCTCTTCTTCTTGTTCCCACCTCAGGGCCTGGACCTTCCTTTCTCTGGCTCTTTGCCTACCTGGATCCTTCTTATCGTTCTGATCTCAGCCAAAATGTTGGGTTCCCAGAGGGGCCTCTTTCTGTCTCTCTATTTAGAGAACCCCTCCACTGGCCACCGTCCTCCAAGGTGTCTGCTATGATTTTCTGCAAAGCATAATCCCCATGTGGAGTTGTTGTATTTGTCCAGTTGCTCATTGGCTCTTAGTATCTCTCACATCCCCCTAGACTGCTGGCTTCACGCTTGAGGGGCCTTGACCTCTTTCTCCAGGGCTCACGGCATTCCCTGGCCTGTGGCTGGTACTCAGGAACCAGCGGGGAATGGTCCTCATGTGCCAGGCACTCTGCTAGGGGCCTATGATGCAGTAGTGGGCTGGGAGAGCCTCCCTTGGCCCTAAGGGGCTTACAGTCAAGCGAGGAACAGAGCTGCTGAACAATCTCATGATGTCTAAGGGCTAAGACAGGGGTCTCTGAATGCCGGGAAGGTACTGACTGGCTTAGGGTCAGGGTCAGGGAGATTGTCCCTGGGAAGTAGCTGCTGGAGCTGAGAGCTGCAGGGTGTGCGGGCGGAAGGCGCGGACTGCAGGCAGGTAGTGGGGAGAGCTCTGGAGGATGGAGTGCCAGTGGGGACAGCAGAGGAGGCCAAGGATGTGGGCAGGGGCCTGAGCATTCGGGGCTCTGTGGGCCATGGTGAGGGGTTTGTTCCTTGTCCTCAGAGCAACGTGAGTCATTGGAGGTATCTGAGCCAGAGATGGACAGGGTTGGGTTTGTGTCTTGCGGAGGTCAACCTAGGAGCCTGTGCTTAGCCAGCAGACAGTGACGGCCTTGAAACGGGGTCAGGAAGCTTCTCCTGGCTGTGGTCGGGCAGAGCGGCAGGAGCAGGGAGGCCCCGGAGGGTGGAGGTGCAGGAGAATGGCTGGGCCATTGGGGTAGATCAGGTGCAAGGAGATGTGGGCAGGTGGAACCTGAGGGTTGCCCTGGGCTGGGGAGGGGGACACGGGAGGACCCATTTCAAAGAAGAAGAGCCCCAGGACACGGTGGCAAGGTGAGGGGAAGTGGGGCAGGCAGGAGCCTTGAACCCAGGAAGATGGCCTGGAGGAGGGGTGTGCGAGGCAGGCCGAGAGGATCTCACAGATCCTCACAGGGGCGGAAGGATCCGGGAGGCGTGTGAGACCAGGGCTTGGAAGAGAGTTCAGCACAGGTGGTCTGGTTTTTGGAGTCTTTCACATGCGGATGGCGTGTGAGGCCGCGAGGAGCTCGGGGAGAGCCCTGAGATTTGGAAATCTAGGGATGAATCACGGTCTCGGTCTGAGCCTGATCTGCCACATTCAGAGCTGGGAGGAGGAAGACGGTCAGTACAGGAGACGGAAAGAACGGCTGGGGTGGGCAGAGGGGCTTGTTAGGGGGCCTTCGCCCAGCAGGGGCTGCTCCATCGGCCTGCGGTGGCTGGGGCCCAGGGAGGAGGGGTTGTGGGGTTTGAGAGGGCAGTTGACGTGGTTGAGTGTTGGTAGATAAGGGAACAGAGAGAGGGAGGGGCTGCTTAGCTTTGCACCCCGGCCACTTCCCGGCTGTGTGGCCTTGGGCGTTACTTGACCTCTCAGCCTGATTTGTTTCATCTATAAAATGAGAACAATAACACTGATAATATTTTTGTCAAAGGATTACCCTGAATATTTAAATATGGTATTTTGCCGTGTATAATGCACACCCATGTTTTTGGCCCAAACTGTCAGGAAAACTTTCATTTTAATTTTTTAATTCAATTCAGTTTATTTATTTATTTATTCATTTATTTATATTTAGAGACTTTTTTTGTATTATAAAGGAATGTTAGCACTTATTTTTGAACATATTATAGTACAGGAACTTTTATGAAACAAATAATTACAAAACACAAGAACAGATACAAGGTACAAGAAATTTTATATACCAGTAACAAATCAGTACTGCCCATGTATAATGTGCATCCTTATTCTCCCTCAAAAATTTGGGCAAAAAAGCATGCATTACACATGTCAAAATATGGTACTTAGAACAAGTGTGTCCTTAGCCTGGCATGTAGCAAATAGCAAACTAGCAAATGGTAACCAAAGGAGGACAGGGAGGAGGAAACCAGCTGAGGCATGTTCCTATTAGGGCAGCTCTGGGCCTGTCTGGCAGAGGGGGAGACACAGGGTAGAGGGGCACACCCTGCTTCCCAGTCCTGCTCCGTCTCTCCTCCCAGAGCCTTGGTCCAGGTTCTCACCTGGCGTGGGTTCACCCAGCAAGCAGAGCCAGTTGGCGGTGTGCATGCTGTGCAGGTCCCATGCTTCCAGTGGCCCGGCCCCTCCCTGGCCCTGCAGGCTCCCCTCTGTGTCCTCCCGGCCTTACCTTCTTTCCCTCTCAGGCCCGGAACTTGCCCATTTGGCTCCCCAGCCAGGACGAGCTCCTCCCCAGCAACAACTGTGCCATCCGAGTTGGGGACAAAGGTTGGTGGTCTGAGCCGGCCAGGGCATGGCCCATACCCTGCTGTGGTCGCCCTTGACCACGGTGTGCCCAGCCAAGCATGGCACCCTGTACTCCTTGGGACATCCGTCCCAGCCTCTCCTTCTCCTTGGCTCAGGGTCTCCCGCCTGCTCTGTGCCATGTGCCCCCCGCCCCGCCCCACCTCTCCTTAGTGCCCTTGCCTGCCTTCTTTGGACCCCGCCCACTGCTTGCCGCCCTCTCCTGCTGGGGTGGGGAGACCAAGCAGCCCCCTCCCACAGCTCAGCCTGGTTTTCCTCTCCAGTCCCCTATGACATCTGCCGGCCAGACCACTCAGTGCTGACCCTGCAGCTGCCTGTGACAGCTTCAGTGAGAGAGGTGATGGCCGCGCTGGCCCAGGAGGATGGCTGGACCAAGGGGCAGGTGCTGGTGAAGGTCAACTCTGCAGGTGGTAGGTTGTGTGTCTCGAGTCGGGGGGCCCCTAGGGAGGGAACCCTTGGAGCCATGCCCAGATTCCCCAATTAAAATCATTATCATCTTCATCAATGTTAATATGGGAGGTTGATGGTATCTCTTCAAAGTGCTTTAAGTGTGGTGCTTAACAGCATGAACTCTGGAACCTGCCACCTGCATTTGATCCCAGCCCTTCAGTTCCCTGTCTGTATGTCCTTGGACAGGGAACTTCACCTCCCCGTGTTTTGTTTCATCATCGGGGATGAAAAGTACCTGCTTCATAGAGGGATTGTGAGGGCTAAATCAGCTCATCTATGGCAGTGTTTAGAGTGGAGTCCGGCACATTGCGCTCCTTAGGTTTTAGCTGCTACTAGTATTATTATCATGTTTACATATTCATTTAATCCAATAACAATATTATGAGACATGTACTTCTGTCTTCAGACAAGGAAACTGAAGCTCAAAGGGACCAAGTGGTTTTCTCAAGCTAGATACATGGCATGTGTACCTAGCCTTTGAATTTAGGTTGTCTTCAGTCATTTTGTCAGTCAGCAAACATATTTGAGGATCAGCTGCGGACCAGCCATGTGTTAGGAGCTAGAGGTGCTGTGGCAGATAAGATAAAGCAGCTTGATAGTTAAGAGCATAGACTGGACTCCCAGGCCTGTATTGGAACCTGAGATGCTTGCCAGATGTGTAACCCTGGGCAAGTTCTTTAACCTCTGTGAACCTCCGTTTCCTTGCCTGTTAAATGTGCACTATCACTGGGCCTATCACATAGGTCTGCTATGACTAGTAAATGAGATGCTGTGTGTAAAGCACTTAGCATGGAGCCTGGCACAGAGTCAATGCTCAGAACATGGCAGCATGGATTTTTAAGACCTGCCTTTGAAGATCTTGGGACATTAAAAAAAACACTGTCATCTGTGAAGGATGCCGCCCAGGTCTGAAAGCTGGAGCCCAGGGTAGGCTGAAATTAGGGACATCCAGAGAATAATGGCGAAGACCGGAGGCAGAAAAGCAAAACCTTCTGCCTTCAGGATGTAGGGAGAGAGGATGAAGTCACCTGTACCTGTAAGTGCTCTGGAAGCACTGCCCTCTGGTGGCCACCTGGAGAGTTGTGGTTGCCCAAAGCCAGCGTTTATTGGAGACTCTACTTGTCAGTGACCAATATATTATCACAAACCCCTTGCTATGTGTATATTTGCTTATAAGTCATACGCATGAATTCCAACACTAAGATTATGTAATTATAAGGTTGTACACAAAATAGAGGTGTAAAACAGATGAGAAAAAAATAAATTTACAGTAGAAGAATCAATATTTTTTTCCAGACAAATGGATGGTGTTGTGTACCTTTGGAGGCTACTGGTCTAGGGACTTAAGACTCAGACATGACTGAAAACATGGTCCCAGCCACCCACGTGAATTGATGAAAATTGACACCAGGACTTCTCTAAGGCATTTCCCAATTTTCATATGGCTCTGAAATGTATCATTATACTTTTAGCCACTATTTATATAAATTATTTCATTTGACTGTGCATAGTAAGGGCAAGCCTTACAGTCTCCATTTGACAAAGGAGGAAACTGAGGCTCAGGAAGACTCCTGCCAAGGTCTTCCTGTCTCACCAAGTGTCCCCTTTCATCCTCCTCAGGTGTGCTACCCTGGGCAGTGTGGATGTGTAGGCACGTGCACCTGTGCATTTAGAGCACCAGCCCAGGACTCTAATCCTGATACAGGGAGAAGGACCTCCCAGCCCCCTCTAATAGGGCCATACCCTGCCTCCAACTGCTCCCTGGCCTTGTGCCCTGTTTCCACCCAGTGCAGCCTCTGCTCTCTTTGCAGATGCCATTGGCCTGCAGCCAGATGCCCGTGGTGTGGCCACATCCCTGGGGCTCAACGAACGGCTCTTTGTTGTCAACCCACAGGAAGTGCATGAGCTGGTAGGACTGGGCAGGGTGCCAGGACCCAGGGAGGATCTGTGCTTTGGGGGTGGAAGGACGGGCGCTGAGGGAGGGTCCCAGAGAAGAGAGATGGGGCCTGGTCTGGCTGCTGCTGGGCATTACAGGGCAATAGGAAGAATGGCTTTAGCTGATGGGGTATTCCAAAGGCCGGGGGCGGGGACAGCTGGTTGGGAGCTCTCAAGGAGAAACAAGACCTGTCCCCATTAGGGATTCCCCAGGGGACAAAAGCCCTATAAGGAGGTGTCTCAGTATTGGGGATGCCTCCTTGGGAAGGCCCATCCCTTAGAGGCCCCTACACTCCCTACAGCTCCCCTGCCCTCTCCAACACTCCTCTGATCACGGGCACAGAGCCTACCTCAAACTCTTTTTTCCCCACCCAATATCTTTCCTCTGGGTCCCTCGGCTACGCCTCTGAGTACTCTCCCACCTGCAGACCCCACACCCTGAGCAGCTGGGGCCCACTGTGGGCTCTGCCGAGGGGCTGGACCTGGTGAGCGCCAAGGACCTGGCAGGCCAGCTGACGGACCATGACTGGAGCCTCTTCAACAGTATCCACCAGGTGCAGGGGGCAGAGCTGAGAGGAGGACAGCAGGTGGGAGGGGACCCTGCCTGGCATGTGCTGATCTCCTGTGCTATGCCCCCGCCATGCAGGTGGAACTAATCTACTATGTGCTGGGCCCCCAGCATCTGCGGGACGTGACCACCGCCAACCTGGAGCGCTTCATGCGCCGCTTCAACGAGCTGCAGTATTGGGTGGCCACGGAGCTGTGTCTCTGCCCTGTACCCGGCCCGCGGGCCCAGTTGCTCAGGAAGTTCATTAAGCTGGCAGCCCAGTGAGTGCCTGTGGGGGTTTATCGAGTATGTGACAGAGTCTCTAGGCCACCTTTTCTTAAGTGCCACCCCGCCTCGCTCCGTCCCTGGTCAGTATGTTGCCAAACCTGCCATCCCCTGGTCCCCTGGAGCCTCTGCCTCCCCACCCCATCCAGCTCCAGTTCCTGCACAGGCAGCACCGGCCTGGCCTGCCTGGTTCTGGGTGGGTCCCAGGCCTGGATGTTGTCTTGATGTGGGGCCCTGTGGGTGTGGCTGCTTCCCCTGAGGGTCTCTGGTTTTCCTGCTAACAGCCTCAAGGAGCAAAAGAACCTCAATTCTTTCTTTGCTGTCATGTTTGGTCTCAGCAACTCGGCCATCAGCCGCCTGGCCCAAACCTGGGAGGTAGGTGTGACCCGGAGGGGGAGGCCAGGTGCCCCTCACTTCAGCCCTGAGGTCGGGCCGCAAGCCCATCCTGGGAGTCCTGGTGGGGACAGGGCTCCTACCCCAAAACAGTGACATCTCCATTGACCTCCCCTTCACAGCGGCTGCCCCACAAAGTCCGGAAGCTGTACTCGGCCCTTGAGAGGCTGCTGGTGAGTGTGCTGGGCCTCAGCTGGCCCAGGGCCGGCTCCCTCTGGCCTGTGGGTTCAGGGAGCTGGTGCGTAGCATTATGGTGGCGGTACATAGAGTGATATACCCTTCAGGACATGTAGATATTGGGAGGTACATTTGCTGTGGCTCTGAGGTCCTGGGTGGAGGCCAGGACAGGCACATGCGGTGTCTGGCCCCGGGGTCTGAGGTGCCGGGGAGCGTCCGGGGGATGCTGGTCTCCAGCTGACCTGCCCCCAGGCCTCAGGAGGCAGGTCCCGGCCCGGCACCCACAGTGTGCCAGGGCCTGTCAGGGGCCCTCGGGACACTCCGGGAGCCTCTGGCCAGACTAGGCCAAATGATGAGGGAAAAGTTGAGGAGCTGAACTTCAACTCCCAGGAACTGTTGGGGGTTTTGACAATGTTTGAGAGAACTGGTTCAGGGGGTTTTGTTTGTTTGTTTGTTTGTTTTTTTAAATCAGTATGGCTCTGGGAGCTCTTGAGAAAAAAAATTCACCTCATGGACCTCAAGAGGTTCAAAGGGACTTACCTGCCAGGGTTGGGGGTGGATAGAGAGAGAGAGACAGAAACAGAGACACACACACACAGAGACAGAGAGAGAGAGAGAGACAGACAGACAGACAGACAGACAGACAAAGAGATCCAGGGAAACTCAGGGCCCCTGTGACTAATGGCCGTGAAGTTTCCTTGGGGGCTAATTGGAAGCCAGGAAGCCACATACATACACGGCCTTTCCTCAGAGCCTGCCCTGGTGAGACCTGGGGCTGAGGAGAAGCTAAGCTCCAAGGGGATGGGCATATGGCCCTTCCTGGTGGGGTGGGGCATTTGGCTGTGTTGTGGTGTGTGGTGGGTCATGGAGTGGGGGACCCTCCCCCTCTCACTGGCTTCTTCCCTCCCAGGACCCCTCATGGAACCACAGAGTGTATCGCCTGGCCCTCACCAAGCTCTCCCCTCCCATCATCCCCTTCATGCCCCTTCTTCTCAAAGGTAACAGGATGAGAGCTTACCTTCCTGCCTCCACCCTGTCATTCATTCCTGTGCCTGTCTGTATGTCCACGCCACCCTCTCTGAGTAATTCCAATGTGCTGACGGCTTGGCTAGGGGGAGGGCACAAAGATGAATTAGGCATTCACAGGCTAGAAGCAGAGTTAGGACATGCAGACAGATATGGGTGACATTAGATGGCCTATGATGTGAGAGGAGCCGGAGGAAGAGGGCACCGTGGGGTGGGACAGGCTCGAGGCTCCTCGTTATTGGCCCCTCACCTTTCCTGGGCTGCTGACAGGGGAAAGCATGTGGAGTCCTTTGAGCAAAATCTGTTTCTTTGCAGACATGACCTTTATCCACGAGGGAAACCACACCCTGGTGGAGAAGAACCTCATCAACTTTGAGAAAATGGTGAGTTCAAGGAGAGTGGGTATTTACTACTGGAGTGGGTTAAGGGATATGACGATGACCTTGGAAGGGAGCAGGGGGTGGGAGATGGTCTAAAGTTATTAACACTGTGAATGTGAATACTTATGTTAAAATCGTATGCCTAACGCCATTGTATCCTGGAGGGCCTGCTCCACGGGGGAGGCTGGGGTGGCAGCCTCAGCCACCTCACCCTTCCATGAGAGCCCCTCCCAGTCCTCTTCCTCTCGGGGCCCTTCCTGACCTCTGCTCTTCTTCCCACTTCTGGTCCCTCCTGGGCCTCTGCCCGAGCTGGGGCAAAGCAGACATGACCCCCGCCCCTACAGCTTCTCAGTCTCTAGGAGCGCCCCGCTCAAAGGGAGCCTGAGTTCCCAGCTGCCTCATAGGCCAGGCCAGGGTGCTGCCCTCAGGCCAGGTCTCACGTCCCCGATTTGTCGACAGAGAATGATGGCCAGAGCCGTGCGGATGCTGCACCACTGCCGAAGCCACAGCAGCGGTGAGAAGGCTGGTCCCGCTGGGTAGGAGCCCCCCACAGCGGCCCCTTCAACGCTTGGCTCTGTCTTTCTAACTCCCACCTCTACCCCCACCCAGTGCCTCTCTCACCACTCAGAAGCCGCGTCTCCCACTTCCACGAGGACAGCCAGATGGCAAGGATTTCCACGTGTAAGTGGGGGCAGGGTGGGCGCTAATGAGTTAGCCATGATAGGCATGTACAGGCACTTGCATACGTGATACACATATGATACGTACTGATAACTATACAACATCTCTATGAAGGAGGTGGAATGTTATCCCAATTTAAAGATGTGCAAATGGGCTCTTGTGTGTTAAAATAACTTGTAGAAGGCCACACAAGTTAGTGAGAGAGCTGCGACCCAGGCAGTCTTGCTCCCAACTTGCACTGAAAAGAGTGGCCCTCAGTTGCAGGAAATGGGATCAATCAAAATCCACAGTTTGTGCTACACTGTCATCATTGACCCTTTATTTTATTTTATTTTATTTTATTTTATTTTATTTTATTTTATTTTATGTATGTGTTTGTTCTGATAATATAATGAACATTTTTGGATCCAATGCAAGCATGAGCACATTGAAAACAACACCTTTCTCTATGTTATGTTCCCCTCGCATGTCCCCTTGCCTCTGCACCCATGGTAACTACTATCCTGAATTTTGAGTTACTCATTTTCTTTTTTTTTTTAAATATACAAACATACATATATATTTTTAAATGCCTCATATAATATGTATATAAAATGACAACAAAATATTCTTTAGTTTTCATTGTTTTTGAACTTAGTAAAGGGGATATTATATCACATGTAGCCTTGGGGGCCTGCTTTTCTTCCGCCCCCAGCTCAGTCTGGGGCGGGGACAGCAGTCTTCAGGACCGGCCGTGGGAAGTGGCAGGGTGGGTGGTGGAGGGCAGGAAGGCGGGTTTGCTCCTTGAAGGGGAAGGGATGGGCTCTACAAGCGGCATTTGTGCCCTCCCTGACCTGGCCCCCCCCCACATCCCACCAGGCTCGGAGCAGTCCCTGGGCACCCGCAGTCCCACCAGCACCTGGGCCTATGTCCAACAGCTGAAGGTCATCGACAACCAGCGGACACTGTCCCGCCTCTCCCGGGAGCTGGAGCCTTGAGGAGGGGCTGGGGCTGGAGCAGCAGGCACTTCCCGCCTGGAAAGCCAGGGCGCGCCTGGGCCAAGGGGCCCGAGGGCTGGCCACAGCTGGGCAGGGCTCTCCGAGGAGCGGACTCGAGGCCCTGGATCGGGCAGCGTGGAGGCAGCTGTCCCCCGTGATGACTGTCGGCCAAGGAGGACCTCAGAGTGGAAGGAGCGGGGCCCAAGCCCAGGAGCGGGGGACAGAGAGACCCTGGAGTGGGTGGGAGAGCAGAGCAGGCGCTGGGACTCTGTGTTCAATAGAGAGCTCTCCACACCAGGTTTTCTTCCAGATTCTGTGCTTCTGGCTTTGTTGTCTAGCCATCTCTTGGCCCCTGGGGTTTGTCTGCATGTGTGTGGCATGTGTGTGGCAGGGGTAGGGCTGGGTGTGGGGAGGGCGGAGGAGGGGAGGGGTGGTCCTGCTTTTCTTTCCATTGCACAGGAGATAAACAGTTGGGTGTGGTCAAGGCTGTTTGTTCTGGAGCAGCGGTGGTCCCTGAAGAGCCTTATTGTTACCCTGAATTAACAGATGCCTCTGTTCTGAGCCCAGCCCTGTGGGGGTGTGGCCAAAAAGGCCAGGAGCTGAGGAGGAGGTGCTAGGCCCTGGAGTGGACCCAGAGGCTGAGAGAGCAGCCCCACAGCTGGGGAGCGTGGTCCCTGGGACCCAGGCAGGGCTCCCAGATGGTTGACTGATGTCCAAATCTAGCACTCTGTCCACAGCACCTGCTGGAGCCTGGCGCCCCGGTCGTTGGCTGGCCAGGGAAACCCTTGGCTCTTGACGGTGGTGTGAGAGGACTCCGACAGCCCAGCTACCACTGTCTCCTCCCACTGCCCGCTCCTGCTCCACGTCCTGTCCCTTGGCCTGGAGCACATCCTGGCCTGTCCCGAGGTGTGCACACAGGACCGAGGCCTCCGGGAGTGGCCAGTATCAGAGAGGACGCTGAGGCAGAAGCTTCTGTGGGGACCCCGTCCCTTGCTGAGGCCTCACAGGCTTTCAGGAAGTCAGGATTTCTCATCAGTGATGAACGTGGTCCCAGCAGGCTCCGTCAGCGTTAAGTCCTCTTTTCAGCCTGTCCCTTGGGAACCAGTTACTAGGAGGATCCCTCCCTCCTCTCTGCTCCCCATGGCCTTGGGCCTGGCAGGAGGAGGTGCGCTGTCTGCCCAAGAGGGACCTCCTGGCCTTGGAGATGACCCCGAGGTAGGTATGGGGCAGCAGGCTCCAGGGCACGCAGGGGAAGTCAGCCCCGCACTTACTCGACAGGTACACTGCCAGGGCTCAGGCTGGACACCTCCCACCCCCCCTTGCCCCTGCACTGCCGGTCCTCTCCTCCCTGTGCTCACGGACATGCAAGCTGCTTCCAGAAAGTGTCAGAACCTTTTGCAGGAGGCAGCAAAACCAGGATTAAACCTCAGGTTTCCAAGTGAATCTGAGCAAGTCAATGAACAGTCCTCTGCCTCCATTTCTCCATCTGTAAGATGGCTGTGATGATCTCAGTTCAGTTCTTAATGACAAAACAGTCAAACTGCAGCTCTGCCTCCACAGATGACGTGACAGCTGTGGGCAGGCCTGTGTCCTCAGTGTGAGGGAGGGCCAGCATGGCCTCGGGTGCGGTCAGGCAGAGCCCACTCCCCAGAGGGAATCTGGGGGAGCAGGTGGTAGGGGTAACCAAGCCAGTTCCCTCACCTGGGGCAGAGATGGAGGACCACTGGGCGCAGAAGCTTCCAGAGCTGAGCAATCAGGACAAGGCTGAGCCTCAGTCTTGGTGAGTCAGGACTCCCTGGAGCTTTCTTCTTTTCCAAACCCATTGTCTGTCCGGGTTTTGGCAAGACTGCAGCCAGCCACGGCCCCTCCTCATCCTTTCAGACCCACGAGAAGACCAGCCCTGTGGGACAGAGGCCACGCCTGGTGGGGGCTGGTGTTCCCATCAGCGATTCTCCTTTTCCCTGTGGTCACACCTATGCCCTATAGGACTTCAGTGACTTGTAAATCTCCCTTCAGCCTAGGCTGCCCTTCAACTTCCCAGCTGCTTCAGTCCCTTGGGCGGGGCGCCTCTGAGCCTGTTGGGAGAGGCCTTGCGGGAAGAACAGCATCCAGGGTGGCAGGGGGACACAGACTTAGAACCAGAGGCCCCGGGGACTGGGCTGTGTCACCGCAGAGGGAAACGCTCTAGGTCACAGTGACTCTAGCTCTGAAGGGTGTAGCCTTCTGTCTCCCTGACTGCCTGGGGGTGGGGTGGGTGGGGCATCCTTGCAGCCCAGGCTGTGTAGGGGAGAGTCTTGATGGGAAGAGAAATTCACAGGATGGCAGGGAGAAGGGAGTTCAAGATCAAGCCTTAAAAAAAATCTTTTACCTAAAAGGAGGTGGCAGAGAGGCAATGTGTGTGTCTTATGGGGGAGAACAGAACGGCGGTGGGGGAAGAGGGGGCAATTCCTTTTCTCAAATACACACCCCTCCCCCTCCCTTACCCCTTATCCTTAGCTTCCCTGTGCAGGCCCCAGACAGGCTGGGGACCAGGCCAGGACTATAAATTGTGGGGTGCACGCCTCCAGCAGGCTGAGCGGGATCTAGTGAAGGAGTAGGGAAGGCTGGGGAGCCCAACCCTCCAGCTGCTCCAGCTCCTCTCCCTGGGCGCCAGCCCTCCCCTCTCTCCCCAGTGCCACCTGAGCTGGTGATCGGGTGCCCTCCATCCGCACCAGTCAGTCAGCCGGTGGCTGGCGTGGAGTTAGAGCTCATGATGGGGAAAGACGGCATTGATTTGCTTTCACATTCTCCTGGCTTCTGTTTTCCCAGCAACCCTGGGTGTCTGGCTGCTCTGCTTCCCAAGCTGCAAAGACTAAGCTTCTTAGTATATACCTGTAGCTGTTACTCCTAGTACAGTCATACCTTGGTACTCGTTAGCTTCAGAACTCGTCAGACTCACATTCTGCTGAGAAAAAAAATGTTTCAGCCCTCGGTGCTTGCGCCCAGGACTCATTGTACTTGCTAGAACTTGTGAGTCACAGCGCCGCCACACAAGAGAAAATGCTTCATCGTTTGGTTACTCGTAGGTTTCAGACTCCTCATGAGTTCCCGAATGAGTTAACGACTAGTACTGAGGTACCACTGTCCTTACCTGCTAATTAATTTGAATTGTTTTCATCCTTTCTAAGACACCTTCACTTCTATTATCTTATTTTGACCCTGATGATAGGGTAGGTATTTTCACCCTTGTTTACAGTCAAAGAAACTGAGGCACAGAAAGATTTGCCCAAGGCCGCATTACTGGTTAACAACAGGGTGGGTTGGTCAAAGAACTGGATGTGTTTCAGCCATGCCCATGCCATGGGCCTTGCTCCTCCACGACTTTTCCTCATGCCCCTGGAATTCCCCAGATCCCAACACTTCACAGACTCAGGCATATAAAGTTCTCTCCTCCTTCCACCTTCCCTGCCTTCATTTTGGAACACTTACTACGGGCCTGGTAGAGGCTCTGTGAATGATACAGGCAGTCCGGGCCCCGCAGGGAGCAGACCGCTCGGCCATGTGGGTGGATGCAGAACACAGCCATCAGAGCGACCAGAAGCCTCCGAGGGCAAGTCCAGAGAGTGGTGGGTGCCTTGGGTTGCAGGGTGTCACAACTCGCCCCCAAGCCTTTAGGCCGATGGCTGCTCCCGTGTTGTAACGCAGGCACACAACCCTAGTCCTGGCACTCCCATCCCCCTCACCCACCCAGAGGCCTGCACACCAGACCTCAAAGCTCTGCCTCCCAGAGACGGGGCTTCTTGCAGCTCCCTGCTGGTATAAACCAGTGTCCTGAGCATCAGATACAGGGGCTGGTGGCTCGGGCAAAATCTCTGACCTGGCAGTCGTTGCTCCCTCCCTTCCCTCCGTGCACAGATAGGTCAGAATGTGAACACATTTCCAAAACGTATCCTTATACCCTGCCCCCTACACAGAGTTCTGGGCTTCTTGCTCATCTGCCACAGCTATGGGCGTGCACTAAGTAAGTGTCCACTCAATCCTGTCCACTTGCCCCAGGCACCCTACTCTGAGGTTCTGGACTCCTCAAGACCTGGGCCTCACCCTGCTGTTGCCCAGCCCAACAGGGAACCTAAGGGCAAAGGGGCTTTCTTCCCAGAGGACAGGCAGCTGCCATCCATCCCAGTGATGACGATGATACCAGATCACTCGGAGAAGCTGTGCTTTGAGAGCCGAGTCTGACTCGGCTGTGCTTAGAGAGCATCTTCTCTCCCATGCTTGGAGCCTTCCTGAGGCTGCAGGCAGCAGATGCTGGTGGTGGTAGATGGAACACTGAGGCAGGAGCATGCGCCCTATGACCCCCCAGAAGAAGGAAGGAGTCTAGGCTCAGAGCCCAGGCCCACCTTTTTTTACAGAAAAGTGTGAGATTCTGGTGGCTTGTGTGTGTTTAGACTCTGATGCACATGGACCCTGGGCCAGGGACCTGGACACTTAAGGCCTTGCCTGGCTCTGTCTGCCATGCTCTTGGCCCTTGGGCAGTGCTCTGGGCCTGTTTTCAGGCTGGGGTGTGAGCCATGGGCAGCCAGAGCCGTTTCCAGGTTGCTGGGTGGAGGAGAGTGCAGGCTTTCCTGGCACTCAGTGGACTCAGCCCACAGTGGGGTGGAGGCAAGGTGACATTTTACTAGCACCATGACAGCGGGACATTTAATGCTTATTCTGCCTTCCAGAAAAGTGCCCTGTAAACCAGAGTTTCGGGCGGCACAGGCGTGAGTCAGGGCGGTCCTCCCACAGTGAGCAGTGTGCGGGGGTGGAGGAGCTTGGGATTCAGCCATCACATGGCCTTGGGCAGGTCGACCCCTCTCTCTCCCCGGGTCGCAGTTTTCTTATTTATAAACAGAGATTTGGAGTACGAGGGTTTGGGGATGTGTTCCTGCAATTAGTGTGTACGGCTTCGGCAGCTCAAGGCATCAACAGGGGTACGAGGACACAGACTGTTCTTAGTCATGACACTGGTGACCCCTCCAAGCATCTTCCCAGCAGTGGCCTCCAGCCAGACTGCCATCGGGACAGAGAACTGGCAGCAAGCACCATTTTATTAGAAAAGTTCTCAGAGAGTTTCCTGTCCTTCAATATTGCCTCCTGTAGCTAGCCCGAGTCCTGCTTGTCTGTGGAAGTCCCCTGTTGCATAAATATATAACTTGGGAGGGTTCTAAGGGGGAGAAAAGGAAAGAAAGAGCCTTGAGGCAATGGCATTAGAGGAGTTATCATGACATGGGGCTAGGGGCGAGGGGCAAGGTCTAGAGAATTCCTGAGAGCATATTGCAGTGACCCAGGGGAGCGCAGAGCAGCCCCCCGCCCCACGGGAGAGAGGTAGGCAGCCAGCTCTACCGCCTCAACTTTGCTGGGGCTGGGCCCTGCAGGGGCACCAGCCTGTGTGCTGCAGGGAGACTGGACTCCTGCGGTCCACAGAGGAGGTCAGCCTTCTCTGTTTCTCCTCCCTCTTGGTTCCTGGCTGTTGCTA